TTTCTTTCTTTCTTTCTTTCTTTCTTTCTTTCTTTCTTTCTTTCTTTTTTCTTTTTCTTTCTTTCTTTCTTTCTTTCTTGCTTGCTTTCTTGCTTTCTTGCTTTCTTTCTTTCTTCCCTCCCTCGCTTCTATTCATTTTGAAGAGACACTTACAGATCTACATGTTGTTTCCTCCATTAGAATGTAAGTCCCTTGAGGAAAGACACCTTTTTACATTTGTTTTTAAATCTACAGTGCCTAGAATAGTGCTTGGCACATAGTAAGTGCTTAATAAATATTTCATTCATTAAACTCTAGCGAATGCAAAAATGGACAATGATACACGTTCTGCCCCCACGGAGTTTATGATTTAACTAAAGGGAAAGAGTGGTGATGGGAAAGATATTATCTATAAACAAATAACTGTGATACAAAGAAGAGGAGAAAAGGAGAGATCCAGACAAGAGACTCAAGGAATACTTGAAGAGGGAAAGATGATGTTCAGTGGATGGGTTCTCTTTTTGTTATATAAACATTAGCCCTCTTGCAGTCAAGGTTGACAAAAAGGAGAGAAGTCTGAGAATAAAGAAGAGAGAGCAGGTCCTAGTCTCTAACTCAATCCAAAGTGAAGGTGCAAGTCTTTGGGAAAAGTGAGTGGTAGCTCCCACAAGAGAGGAAATTGCTGTTTGGCCTTGACCAAGGAATTACTAAGGTTCTGGGACCGGGACAATGGGGGCGTCAGTATCTCTCTCTATAGGGAGATACTATTATTCTTATACAAATAATAAATAAATAAATCTCCACTGCCTATCTCAGTGAGGTGTGCATGCTCTGTGTTTTATGTACTTGAGAGACAGAAGACATAAAAGAACAGAAGTAATTGTTGCCCTTGGAAAAGCTTGCAATCTGAAAAGAAAGATGAGATCAGTAAAAAGTCAAGAGAAATGGAGACTGCAAATTTGTAAAAAATATTTGAGAGAGAAGTAGATGAATGAAGTATTTTACTGTAAGAAAAGAAGGATAATTTGTTAATCTAGGAAGAGTCCTTGGACTAGATTTGGCCTTAAGCTGTAATGTAATTGGTTAAGTAGTTATTTTGTGTTTTTTTCTCTCTTTCCACCAGGATCAAGATCCTGCTGCATTTGGAGTAAACTCTGTTCTTTTGAATTCTGCCAGATACTACCTGAATATCCGCTATAATCTTCTGCCTTACCTCTATACTCTCTTCTTTAGAGCTCACACTCGGGGGGATACAGTGGCCCGGCCTCTTGTCCATGAGTAAGCTCCCTCATCTCTGACTACTGCCTTCCAAATCACAACTTTAGCTTATGATCTTATGAACATATGATCTGGGGTTAATTCTGATTGGAGGACAAGTCATGTTTATTTCCCTATCCCCAGGTTCTACCAAGATTCACAGACATGGAAAATACATCAGCAATTCCTCTGGGGGCCTGGCCTGCTCATCACACCAGTTCTGTATTCAGTAAGTTTCTTTGCATGGTATGTGACACTAAGGGGTACAGACAGGGTACCCCACTGTCCCTCAGCCCATCTAGCCCTTCATGGTAAACTTCAGTAGATTACCAAGCATATGATATTAGTAGAGGCTTTGAATGTCTTTATGTGCTGACAATAATGGATACCCCTGTGGCCATGGGGCATTGCTCTCTTCCAGCTCTAATATCTAATAAGTCTATCATTCTAGGATGCATGACTATGGTAAAGAGTGGTAGTAGAGAGTGTTGAGAGTTGGTAGGGCATAGTGAACAGAGAGAGAGACTGAGTCTTAATTGTTTGCAGGAGAAGAGGCAGGAGTGTGATGCCCAGGCTTAATGGGGAGGGAGTGGGACCAGGAATGGTAAAGGCAGATACAGAAATCTACCTAGGGTGAAAATTTTTCTGCAATGATCCACACGCATATTTGGAATGCATGAGATAGCCCAAATAATAATAATATCATATATCACTTCATGACACTGTTTCAGTCACACTGAGATATCAGTCAGCTGACATCTTTGCCTGAGGATGCTCGCCTACCCCTATGTCTGATGTCTATCAGTGTGGATGTTAGATGTTACTTTTCTCTTGTTGTCCTAGGGTGTGGACCGAGTGATGGCGTACATCCCTGATGCCGTCTGGTATGGATATGAGACAGTAAGTAAGGACAGCCTCTGACTGCCAAGTATACAGCTGTGCTGTATGGGCCATGTCTAGGGAGGGAGGAACTGGGGGCATCCCAATGCTTTACGCTGCATTTGCATTCTGGGATCTGAGGGGGTTGGGATAGTGTGAGTTAGTATTTTTTTTCGGAAAAAGAAAAAGAAAAAACATATTTAATCACATTGATCATTATTACTATTCTTTTGCTGAATAGTTAATTCTTTTTATGAGAAATGTATTTCTACTTTATTTTGAAAATCATTTGGAAAGTAGAATCATTTTCATATAAATATTCTTTCCAGACAATTTAGCTAGAATACACAGCTAGGGAGTAGGACAGAGAAGCACATGACTTCTAAAGTCCATTTCAGATCTAATATTCCGTAAGTTTATGTTTATATGATCTGTTCCTTAAATCAAGAGAGCTACAATCAAACTGGACAATATCTGAAATGATTTCCAATGCTAAGAGTCTGTGATTCTGAAGAACTGTTTACTGCTAACCACTAACTACTACTAACTAACTACTATTAACTAACCAACTAACTAACTACTGTTGGGATGACTTGATTGAATTTAAGCCCAACTATTTTCTTCTTTTCACCTAGAATGTAGCGATTTCACAGAGAAAGGAATGGATGGAGATGGTACTTCCTAGGGACAAGATAGGACTTCACCTTCGAGGGGGCTCCATCTTTCCCACACAGGAGCCAGCTGAGACTACAGAGGCCAGGTATGCTGTGAGCCTGAGAGCCCAATCTTGTTATTTGCTTTGTTTTCAGGGAGCAATGGGTCAGGTAAGGTATCATGGAGGAGGGTGTGTTGTGGTTTGGGATATGGGAAGACAGAAACAGGAAGGCCCAGATTAGTATCCTTGTTATTTAAATTTTTCGTCCAAAATGTGCATCTATAAAACTCACCACAATCCTCTTCCAAGGAAAGTCAGTTTGCATGCGGCATCCTCTTCCTCATTTGGGGGGGGGGGGTTGGCGCAAATCTTCTCCCCATCTTAGACTATCTATATTCTCTCATTAATTCACATTCAGAATTTAACATACACATAGAACTTTGCCATGCTAATCATTAGCATGATATATAGTGGAATTTGTGTTAAACTAGGAGTCAAAAGACCTGGGCACTTAATACCCATGTCTTGCCCACCTTTGAGATCTAGTGCTATGTGACCCTGGGAGTTCTTCCAGGTTCTAGCCATCAGCTTCAGTTTCCTAGTCTATGAAATGGTTTTCATCTAAAATGTGTTCCTAGAGGGATTCTCAGGAGCATCTGCCCTTAGAATCCTTATTCTGGCAATCTGACCTGTCTTTCTCTGTCTAAACCTTATTATATCTATTCCCATAGCCGTAAAAATCCCCTGGGATTCATTATTGCCCTGGATGACAAAAAAGAAGCAAAGGGAGAGCTGTTTTGGGATGATGGTGAAACAAGAGGTAAATTGATATCTGATAACTTCTTAGATGTCACCCCCTACACTCTTTTTTCATCATTATTTGGTTAGGAGTGAGTGCTGCAGTACACAGAAAACTCCCATGGGACAATTCATTGTCAAGTTTCCACCACCCTCATTAATGCTGTATTTTAATAGCTCCAATGACTCTTTTGCTAAATTGCTTTCATGATATGGTACCACATTAACAAAATGCACTGGGCGTAATTTATTATGGGGATGGAGACCAGAAGCTCTCTAAATTGTTGCCAAAACTAGATTACATTCCTGGTTACAAAAGATTTTTATCCAAGTAGTAAATGTAATGCCAAGCCTGTTGCCAAGAGAACAAGCTTTATTCTGATTTATTATTGGTAATGATTGTCATTTAGAGGCAGTATGGCTCAGTGTCTAGATAGCTGGCCTTGGAGTGAGAAGAACCTGGGTTTAAATTCTGTCTCTGACACCTACTGGTTATATGGCCCATGGCAAGTCACCTAAGCTTTCAGTGACCCAGGCAACTTTCTGGGACCATAAGTTGAAGAGCTGTTGTTGTTCAGTCATTTCAGTTGTGTCTGATTCTTTGTGACCCCCTTTGGGGTTTTTTGTGGCAAAGATACTCCAGCTCATTTTATAGATGAGGAAACTGAGACAAACAGGGTTAAGTGACTTTCTCAAGGTCACATAGCTAGTAAATGTCTGAGGCCAGATTTGAACTCATGAGGTCTTTCTGACTGCAGGCCTGGCACTCTATCCACTGCGCCACCTAGCTGCCCTGAATAGCAGGTGGTGACCTATGTTATTAGAGAGATCATACTCATCAGGTGTTCCCTAGCATATTCCAATGAAATTCTAGGTCCAGTATGGGAAAAAAAAAAGTACCATTTTAGTGATACTCAGTGCCTTTTATTGATGAGCTATGAAAAATGCTCTTTGGCTTTCCCTGAAAAGAAAGAGACTTATACTATTATATTTGCATATGTACTCGTGGCACGCTCCTAGTAACTTCATTCATTCAGAAATTATATCTACTGAATATCTACTACATTCAAGACACTGTGCTATGGCCTATGTCAGATACAAAGAGGTTTTAAGAGAGTATCCTTGAGGCAGCTAGGGGGCACAGTGGATAGAGCACTGGCCTTGGAGTCAGGAGGACCTGAGTTCAAATCCAACCTGAGACACGTAACAGTCGCTAGCTGTGTGACTCTGGGCAAGTCACTTGACCCCAGTTGCCTCACCAAAAAAAAAGGAAAAAAAAAAGAGAATATTGATGTCCTTGAGTAGGAAACATAAGATAGGTACACAAGCAATTAAGCCAAATGGCCTCTTCAATTATAAATTTTGTCCAGTCCTTAGACTTAATAAAATCATAAATCTGGTGTGCATATTGATTTATGTAAATATTTTATGAATTATAAGATGATATCTTACATGACAGTTGGGTATCTTTGCTATCATAAAAATAAGTGTGCAAAAATATATACAAAGAGTACAAAAATGGTTAGCCCAGAGTTTGGGGAATGGAATAAATTGATCTAAATTTAAAAGTCATACTTTTAGCAAATTAAGAATTGTAATGAAAATAAGAAATGTAACTTCCATCCCTGGTTCTATTGAAAGTGTGTACGCTGGTTGGTTTTTAATTGTATTTTCACTCTGACAGGGCTTAGTGTGAGTGGAGAGGCAGGCCAAGTTTGAGGCTTGATAGATTTTCCTAAACTTTTCTACAAAAACTTAAGCAGAATCTCCAATATATCAGCAACTAGTGAAAACTCTCATTAATCATTTTATCTATTTGACATCAAAACAGACAGTGCCCCAGAAGCTGAACTAAGTAGTGGTTTATACTTCATTATATTTATTCATTTTAATTAGCTATCTTCATTAAGGGCTACCAGTAAACTAAAGATTAATTGTTGGAAGCTTCTGATTTAAATAAATAAATATATATATATATGTAAATAGTACCCAGTATATCCTTTTTCCAGGCCCAATAAATAAATGTAATTTTGCTCTGATATATATATTATTTTTTTCTTTATTACAGATACTTATGGGAAAAAACTTTATTTTTTGGCAGAGTTTAATGTGACTCGGGTAAGGCAGCTTATGGAGTTTTTTAAAGTATTCTTTTCCCAGCTGGCTACAGATTGAGAAGCATTTCATTGGCTGATTAAGTCCCTGAGTATGTGTGGTGTAGCCTCAATCTACTTGTCTCTGTCATTGCTGACCTTGCTCTAGAGTTCTGTCTGCTAGGTGTAAGCAACTGTTACTTTCTTGACTAAATTGTTGGGCTCAGAACCAAAGACTCCTAAGATTTAGAGAGTGACTTTAGAAAATATCTAGTTAAAACAAAAAAAGAAAATATGTAGTTTGACTATTGAGGAAACTGAGGCCAAAACACCTTAAGTAACTTGCCGAAGGTCTAATAGGTAATGAGTAGCAGAGCTAAGATTCAAATCTAGGTCCTATAGCTCCTAATTTAGTATTCTTTCCACTATGCGACCTTGGCCAGAAAACAGCAACAACATTATTTCAAGTATGATAAACATTTTTGTGAGCAGATGCTTTTCATTCATGACTTAATTTACATTGGAGGGAAAGGGAAGGGAATAAGCATTTATATAGTGCCTACTGTGTGTGTGTGTGCCAGCCAGTGTACTGGCTCTTTGTATCTGACATAGGCCATAGCACAGTGTCTTGAATGTAGTAGATATTCAGTAGATATAATTTCTGAATGAATGAAGTTACTAGGAGAGTGTCACGATTACATATGCAAATACAATAGTATAAGTCTCTTTCTTTTCAGGGAAAGCCAAAGAGCATTTTTCATAGCTCATCAATAAAAGGCACTGAGTATTTTAGTGATCTAAAATGGTACTTTTTTTTTTCCCATACTGGACCTAGAATCTTATCTCATTGCCCAGACCTTTTCCTTTTTGCATCAGTCTCAGAGTTCATTCATTCATTAAACAAATGTGTATTAAGTGCCTACTACAATCTGAGCCAATCCTTTAATAAGCCTGAAAGCTGAGGCCCCCTAAGGGGAGTGGGGGTAGTGGTAAAAGTAATTGGATTGTTGTAGGAATTAGATTTGTGATTTCCTTAGAGGGAGGAAACTCTCTGTACTAGGTTCTCAGTACTGAGTACTCTGAGTACTCTGTTCTCAGGTCAGCAGCTTCTCTGAAACTTACAGACCTAGAGTTGCCTAGAGCACTGTGGCAGCTAGGAGGTACAGTGGATAGAACACTGAGCCTAGAGTCAGGAAGACCTGAGTTCAAATCCAGTCTCAGACACTTATTAGCTGTGTGACTCTGGGCAAGTCACTTAAGCCCGTTTGCCTCACTTTCCTCATCAGTAAAATGAGCTGGAGAAGGAAATGCAAACCACTCTAGCATCTCTGCCAAGAAAATCCCAAATGGGGTCATGAAGAGTTGTACATGACTGAACAACGACATAGCACTGAGAGGTTGCTTGCCCAGGGTCACACAGTCAATATATGGCAGAAGCCTTCAAGGACGGATGGCTTTCAATCCATGTCTGAAAAACGGTGGAGTCATTGGTTGGAATTCCAGTCAAATCCAAGTACTTCGAGAAATCCTCACAGAATCTTTGACTCTACCCATTTTTCTCATTTCCATTACTTATTCTTGAACCCTCTGTACAGAATCCCATGCTGGACCTAGCCTCCATTTCCAGAAAAATTTCAGATTAGTTTTAGAGAGAAAATGCACAGATAGACTGAAGAATGAAAAAAGGAACATAAAAATTAGTGGAAGTAAGATAGTGGACTTTCCCACTATCCTCCAGCTTTCATTTAGGTGGAAATATGTGTGTTCTAAACCATGGAGAATCCAACCACGCTTATGGGTTGCTACGGAAGTGAATTTTAACATCTCCTTATTTGAGAGGGATAATGCTTTTGTTTCTGTCAGAACTGGATCTAATAAACTTCTCTTTTTTCTATTCTGAGACAATCCCAAAGAAGGGTTTATTTAATGTTTTAGCCTGGAGATTTACAGCCAAATTCTATACATATTATCTTTTTATGATGTACTTGATTAACGATTTATCAAAAGTCTGATAATAGCTGTGTTGAAGAGCAAATTTGTTCTAGATTAACATATTGCTACACCTGCTGATCTCTGGGGGATTGTTGGGCAGAAACAAGTTCTCCACCCACCCATTTCCCAAACTGATTGCTGACTACATACTATGGCAATAGGTTTTTGTAGAAACCTCCCCCTTCCATTCTCCTAAAGTAACAATAAAATTGTTGGTGTTATAGGACTTTTCTTTCTTATTTATCTCTATCTTTGGAACACATTTTGGATTTTTTTAATTAAAATTTTATTGATAAAAAAAGAAATGACATAGTGCATAAATAGGAATGCTGTGACTTGATTTCCCTGTAAGAATTTTTTACCATTGCAATTTTGAGGCTTATTGAGATCGCAGAATCACGGATTCATAGCTAGGTGGAACCTTGGAATCTGTCAATCCCATCATTTTTTGGATGAAAAAACAGGAATGAGGAAATCAAGTGACTTGGCAAGGTTCACAAAGACAGAAAATTTCCAAGGTGGAATTTGAACCCAGGTCTTCTGACTCTAGAACCAAATGATTTTCCTAATGTATCATGTTAACTACTCTGTACATTATACGGAAAGTCTCAGATTATTGCCTTTCTTCACGGCTAACTCACACCATTTTTATCATATCTTTTATGTTATGCAAGTATGTCATAATATTAAGTTATTAAAATATTATAAACATTCTTACATATTATTATGAAATCATTGCTACTAAAACATTACTCTTTTCTTGCTAAGTGATACTTGATACACACAAACACAAAGCAGGGAACCCATGTTCTGCTTTAAATATTCCAGATTCTCTGTTTTGCTAATCTCCAAGTCACATGATTATTTGGCCAATATATGCCTGCCTTCCTCAAACCCTCCTGCCTTACCGCCTCTAAGGTTACCTTCCATTTATCTGATATGTTCTGATTCATGTATGTGTTGTACCCCTATTAGAACGTAAGCTTTCTGAGGGAATGGATTGGTTTTGTCTTTCCGTTGTATCCCCTGCCCTTAGCACAGGTACTGGGCACATAATGTCGTTGTTGCTGGGTTGCTTCAGTCGTGACCAACTCTCTGTGACCCCATTTGGTGTTTTCTTGGCAAGGATACTGGAGTGGTTTGCCATTTCCTTCTCCAGCTCATTTCACAGATGAGGAAACTGAGGCAAACAGGGTGAAGTGACTTGCCCAGGGTCACATAGATAGTAAGGGTCTGAGGTTAGATGTGAACTCAGGTCCTCCTGACTCCAGGGCCAGTGCTCTATCCACTGCACCACCTAGCTGCTCTTGGCACATAATAGATATGTAATAAATATTGATTGATTGACTTTGGCTGTATACAAACAAGTTGGAGGATCCTTTTAGAATGATAGGATTGCAGAGTTTGAAGATTTGTAGTTCAACCCCCTACTCAAAGCATGAACCTCCATCCATGACTTTTTCTATAAGTGCTAATATTATAATTGAAGATCTCTAGTGACAGGAAACTCATGACTTTATGAAGCAGTTTATCTATGAGTACGCTAGTAAATATTTAACAACAAGCTCTCCGTTAAAAAAAAAAGTGTACACAGCACATTTCATTATTAACACTTTCTCTACCACCTTCTTAGGTCTAGACAATCAACAAAATAATAAATCAAGCCCTGATCTGTAATATTGGCCAATTTCCAAGGTGTAAATGCTCACACGGGAAGTTTAATAACTGGCTCTCACAGAACTATTTGAGCTAGCTCCAGCACACCTCTGAGTCTCTTCCATTTTTGATGATTCTGAATGTTAGGAAGTTTTTTCTTTTTAAATAAATGAAAACAGCCTCCTTGAAATTTTCACCCTTTAGTCCTACCAGTGTTGTTCAACTAGGGCAAATAAGTCATTGGTGTAGGGATGGATTGGTGATCAGGTAGCAGACTCAGATACACCCTGTTTCTCTCTGATCAAAGACTGCAAAATCCACAGAAATTCCACTATATGCACAGAGCAGAAACATTTTGTCCACCATAAGTACTGCTGGAAATGAAAGGGGTGATGGTGAAGGAGAGCCCCTTCCCCCTTGCAAGACATTCTCCTGAAGATTACTATCTATCTATCTATCTATCTATCTATCTATCTATCTATCTATCTA